TTTTTATTTTTTTTCTATTTAAAAACATTAGCTTTCAACTATTTTCTATTTAAAGATTAATTGGATGAAGATATTAACATGACAAATATATTTTTTAACTAAAATATTGAAAGTTGGCATCATTAAATAAAAAAATTAAAAGTTAATATTTTTAAATAAATAAAATTAAAAATTAATACCATTATTTTGTTAGTTTTTAAATAATTATATTAATTTTTTTTATTTAAAGATGTTAATTTTTATTTTTTTCTATTTAAGAACATTAGCTTTCAACTATTTTCTATTTAAAGATTAATTGGATGAAGATATTAACATGACAAATATATTTTTTAATTAAAATATTGAAAGTTGGCATCATTAAATAAAAAAATTAAAAATTAACATTATTAAATAATTAAAATTAAAATTAATACCGTATTTAGAAACTAATAAAATTAATATCATTAAATAAAAAAAAATACAAAATTCACATTTTTATTTGTACCATTTCTCTCAACTCCCCTGAAGATAGAAAAGGGGATGTGGATTTCATGCCGCTCTAGCGCAAATAAAGTGTAAGAGTACTTATGAAAGGATTTAAATATTATTAAATTAATAATTTATTTAAAATATTTAAATAATTTTATAAACATTTATACACTTCATAAGTCAACATGAAATTATTATCTCAGTCCAAATAAGTGGACTTTTGCAGAAAAATTTTAATGGACCGATTCTAACCTTGTCTACTCCAAAATTGGATCGGGCCCATCTTTTCTTGAATTGACAGCCAAGAGTCTGCTTAAATTTTTTTTTTTTTCTACTAATTCTCTAATATCCCAAAACCATATTACATTTCAATTAATTTAAATTCAAGCTACATCAAATTTCATAAATGAAAAGCTCCAAGTCAATATTTTATTTAAAAAAATAATTTTTTTTACTCGAATCAACACATGATTGTTTCATATATATTTTTTTGAAAAGAAAAAAATGTTCTCCGAAATTAGGCCTGGCCCATCTAAACCCAATCAAGAAAAAAAATTTTAATGGAAAATGAAAACGGAAAGCAATTAATCTGTTTGGCTCTTTTCCCGCCCTGAGAGAAATATCTGATTCCATTTCCATGGAATCGCTTCAGCAAAAGAACGGCATCTCTTGCTTTCTGCCGTTCCCATTTCATTTTCCGTCTGCGTTCCACAAATAGCAGGAATCACATTCGATTCTCCAATAACATCAACAGTTCATCGTTTCGATCTCTTCAAGTTTCCTGTGTCTTTGTGGCAAAATTCATTGCCACAAAGTTCACTCCTTTGAGTTCTTTCTGTTTCCAACAACAGTGCCCTTTACCAAACACTGGATCACCCCCACGATGCGACTTTCCCTTCATTTCCAAGTTCGTTTCACTCCGGATTAAGGGCTTTATTCCCTTCAAATCCAAGGAGATTTCTGGGTTTTATTGCTGGAATCAGATTCTGGGTTGAATCGATTTTTACACGGATGAGAAAACCGAGTGAGAATTATAGGGAAATAGTTATAGCTAGAAATGGTGGAGAAAGTGAGGAATCTCCAGAGAAAAAATCATCTAAGTCTCCCAAAGGAATGAATAAGGCTATTCATCCACCAATTGAGACACACTGGCATCTTCCTCAAGAAAAAAAGCCTTGTTCGTCTCCAAGCTCAGGGTTTAAGTCAATTCTTAAATACCCACTTAAGGTCAGGGATTCCGTGAAGAAAATTAAAAGGAGCAGAAGCATGCAACTAGTCCTTGAGGGAGTTCATGACCCAAAAGATGAACAAATTGTAGAGTCTTTCCGGGAATTGCTTTTCCTTGAAGGAGGTGTGCTGGCACAGAACTATGACTATCATACTCTTTTAAGGTGAAAATTTCATGATGATGGTATTTTGATTAATTAGTCTTCTCTTGATATTTTAATGTGATGCTGTTATTGTTTTTGGTTTTAGATTTCTAAGAATGACGGATTTTGACCTGTTAAAGGCAAAAACAATGCTGTCCAATTATCTTCAATGGCGTCAGGATTTCGGAGTTGATACAATCCAAAAGGCGAGTTCTACATTAAACATATTTCATTCAAAGAACACTGTTGATGATATTTTAGTTAGCTTCCTTTATTCTTGAGTAAGGTGTCTAGAATACTGGCACTAGAAGATAAGTATATTCTGCTTTCCCTTGTTCATATTGATTTGATTGAAATGTAGTGCAGGAGTTTAAGTTTGATGAGCTTGCAGAAGTGAAGAAACGCTACCCTCATGGATTCCATGGAGTGGATAAATATGGTAGACCAGTATACATTGAAAGGATTGGCATGGTAGACATGAATGAATTGCTACAAATAACCACGATTGAAAGATTGGTTAAGAATCATATAGCAGAACAAGAGAAAACATTAAGTTTGAGATTTCCTACGTGCTCGATTGCTGCCAAGAAGCATATTGCGTCCACTACAAGTATCTTAGATGTGAAGGGAGTTGTAAGCATCTAATTGCACTTTAGATTCATTTTCAAGATTATGTTGGCTGAAAAAGTAAACATGTATTGTTGTTAATAATCAATTATTGATAAGATTAGTACATGTTTTCGCTGTCAAGGGAATGTCCAACTTCTCAAAGCCTGCGAGGCATCTCTTCATGGAAGTCCTGAAGATTGATAGCAATTACTACCCAGAGGTATATGCAATTTTCTTTTCAGTAGATTATAGTGATATGCTATGACAAGGAGACAGAGGTAACTATATAGCTAGTGATTCAATGATTGTGCAGTAATTAAGATTTAAGAACCATTAGCCATGTAGTCTAGTGGTAGAATTACCTGTGCTCTTAGCTTTAGTCACAAGTATAGGGTTCAATCCCTAATCTCTACATACCAAAAAAAAATTAAGATTGAAAAGGGTTGTGCCTAGCGGGAACTTAGTTAAAAAATTTTGCAATCTGCATTCCAGCAGAAGTGGTGTTTCCATTTATATACATGGATGAACTATGGTTCAGGATACTTTAGTTATGTGATCTATCAGTGGGGCTTGATTTTAGTCAATTATGTTGTTATAGACTCTTAATAAGCTATTCATTATCAATGCTGGATCTGGGTTCCGAATGCTATGGAAAGTGGTCAAGGCATTTCTGGAAGCACGAACATTGGCAAAAATTCAAGTAAGTACTCTTACCAAACAATGTCCATTGTCAGTCTTACATAGTGGCACTGCAGTATTCTTAGTAGATTTTTTTTACTGGTTTCCTGTGCAACCAATTTTCTCACCATTCACTTTCAACTTATGAAATTGCTGTTTCAGGTGCTGGGAAACAACTACTTTTGCAACCTGATTGAAGTTATTGATCCAAAGTAATGTCTTACAGATTTGCATACTGAACTAGCAAAAGTAGTGGTTTTTGCATGCAAATATTTTGTGCTTATCATTTTTTTGGCCAATCTTAAATATTATCTTTCCATCCACAGTAATTTGCCATCTTTTCTGGGTGGAAATTGTACATGTGCTGATTATGGGGGCTGCTTATTAAGTGATAAAGGACCTTGGAACAATCCAGAAATTATAGAGATGCTTCAGGTCAACTTCTCTGTTTGCAGAAAGACGATTTTAACTTTTCAAAGGAAAAATAATTTCCCATGTTCATGATCACTATATTTATTACAGGCACTGTCTGCAACAGAAGAGATCAGTAATGAAGGAAACGGAGATCTGACTTCAGAAGATGCTTTGCAGGAGGATGTGGTATAATTCTTCATCTTCAATGCTTGCCTTTCATTTCACGTTTCATAACCTTCAAATCCAATGTGCATGCTGCTTGCTTAATTTATCAGGTTTTGTTTGGTCTTTAATGAATAATGACAAAGTAAATCTTCCTAAAAATTGATACAGGGCAGTGCCAAAAGTAAAGAAGACTCGAGACATGGGGAGACACTAATGATCAACGAGCATGCATCACAGAAGATCTTGGCACTGCAGGCTGCAATATCTGACACCAAGACAGTGAGTCACAAAAACTTGCAATTGCAGCTCCCCCTTCTGAAATACCCCGCACACAATCTATTGACCTTGTTTATTTAATTCTTTATAACCTTTGATTAACAGAAACTCAAGGCATTAGAAGCTGCACTCGAGGACATCAAGACAGTGAGTATCAACTTTTATGGTTCCTATAACCCATTAACATGGTTTTCAATTTTCCATTCCTTTTATCATATTTTTTTCTTTCTACAGGTTTTGGAAGGACTTACACAGCACGTCAAAGAGTTAAAGACTTAAGCTTACCGCCATATCTGGCTTTGAGCATAGAAAAACAATTATGTTTTTCTTTAATCCTCATTCTGTATATACCTTCAAAGGGACCCTTTGATGATTAGGTACGGACCCCTCTCACGCCATCCATTAAAATTTTTTTGCAGTTGCTCAAAGTTGGTCCCTCTGAAGGTTAGGTAGAAGTTGCAATGATTGCTATTTTTCCTATACTGTAACCTTAATCTTATCTTAATGTGCTTGCTAATTGGATGAAATGTGACCCACCCCTTTACCTTTCTTTGGAATTATTTGCATAATCTTTTCATTTTTAGACTGAACCAAAATTCCTAAATATTTAGAGAAAAACAAGGAGAGTAACCCCAAATTAAAGGTAAGTTTGGTTTGAGAGAAACAGGAGGACAAATTTCTCTCTCAATCAAATTAAAAATTTAGGCTAAAATCTCAACATTTTTCCTCTTCTAATTTTTCTCAAACCAAACATCCCTATCCTGAATGCTCCCAAGTCTGGACAATAAAAGAGACGGACTCTTGAATGATTAAATAAATGGGCCTTAGGAAAACGCCCTCTTTTACTATAGCTTTAAGCTTGGGACCCAACCTTGGCCCAATTCTTTTAAAATTCGAAAAGAAATAAATAATTAACAGGCATTTTTAAAATATTTTATTAAAATTTTCTATCATGTGCCTTTTCAAAAGTGTTATAATATATTTTTTGTTCTAAATTATCTCCCTTTTTTTTTTGTTCAACTTTAATAAATTTAATTGTTTATTTTTTAGATGTAATTTAATGCATTTATTTGTATTTTACTTTCATTTTCAAAAATAATTACTCCCTTTATTTATTTTCAATAAA